TCGTTCTTGTGTCCCTGCTCACCCTCAATCCTTCTCCAAGGAGTGGCAGGCCAAGACAGAGGATTGTGATCGCCGAGCCGCCGAACGTGTTCAAGACGTCGTCGCCCGCTACAACGACCACGCCCGTTCTCTCCCCAGGTTGAGTGTCGGCACCCAAGTCCGTGTTCAGGACCCGACCTCCCTACGTTGGGACAAAGTAGGCGTAGTCATGGGTCTCGGTAGGTCACGGGACTACCAGGTGCGGTTACCCAGTGGTCGTGTGTGGTGGAGGAACCGCCGTTTTCTCCGCCCCGTAACAATGCCTTCTGCTGACCCCGCCACCAGTGTTGAGTCCCATACCCTTCCCAGTGATCAAGTCCCTCGACGCTCAGAACGGATCCAAAAGAAAAGGTCCGCTCAAGACTTTGCTATGAGCGTATAGGGGGGAGGGAGGTGTATGTATATTCTGTATGCTGTATTTATATTATGTATGTATTTTATGTATGTGCTCCATTTATATGCATTATTTATTCAGCCTAGCTAGCAGCGTGTGGCAATGTATTTACCATGTCCCACATGCTTAATTAATGTGCCTGGCGACATATGGAAGCTGCTAATGTATCACTTACCATATGCCACCTAGAGGCAGTTGACCAGCAGACAGGTTGAGGAGTGCTACTCCCCTTGTGTACATATCTCTTATCCAGTAAATAGAACCCTACAAAAAAACTATACAGGTGTTTGTGTTCGCTCCTGTATATAGAACTTATTACTCAGAACACGAACAGGAGGAACCACTGCTGAACCATCCTGGCTGTGTGGACGGGGCAGCTATCCTAGACAAATTTTATTGGGCCGGGAGGGAAGGGAAAATTCCTTTCGCGAAGAGAGGGTAGGCATTTTTTTTTATCAACATGTCTTTAGGCATTAAACAATCCCTGAATCTCTGTGACATCCCCGACGCCGTGGAAAGTCATCCACCCCACATTCACCCTCACTCCTCCGCTCCGTTGTTCTTTATACTGTACATATTGGTCGATCATATCTCCGTCAAATGTAGACCTTATCACTCTGTTATATTCTTCATTTTCATGTCAAATTATGATTTTAGTTACTGCAAGATATTTGGGATTTCATAAAGTAATTAATTTTGATATACAGTATACTAATATTAACCACGTTACAGGTTGCAGACATAACTTTATGGGTATACTACCTTGTGTTGTTTCGGCGCCACACATGGATACGGCCATGGTTGTTGAACGAAAATGTTTTTTCGTTGGTGAACGTTACTTTTGCCCTAAATTTCTCCTCCTTGTTGACATATTGTCGAGTGAAAGCGAACCTCGAGGCATTGTGGTGGAATATCCTGTGCAAATGAGCAGTGGCCTGTTTCGAGGCTCCAACATCATGTTATATACTCTATCATGTTTGTAACTAAAACAAATGCATGGATAGATTTTATAAACAGAAAGAAAATAATTTGCTAAAATTTATTTAGCCTTACATAGGTGTTCGATGGTAAGCGTTGACTTTTCACCTTAGTTGACCACCGATTAATTGCCTGGTTTCTGTGTTTCTGGAGATAGGGTGGGGGAGTGTTGCACCCAGCCAAGTTACCAATTAGGAATTTCGAGGCCGCCTGCCTGTGTGTATTATAAGTGGCGTGGACAGTAAGTGGTGGCAGTGCTTGTATCCATTGGGTAAGAGTGCTATCTATAATACATCGGCCACGAGTGAGGCCTCCAAAGCATTCCATCCATCTCATCAAAAACTCATTTATGATGATATTTGTCCATGTCCCTGATCAGTAATGTCTGTTGTGACGCATTCTGAAAAAGCTTTCCTTGGTAAGCTGTTCAATTTTTTTTTTTTTTTTTATCGGGAACTTAAGACTTCTGTTGCGAATAGATTTGTGCTGACTTGGCGTAGGACAAATAACCAGCAGCATGTAAATGCGGAACCATTTGACGCAAACAATAAACGTGAAATCCCACTTCCCTAAACGCTCAGCTGTGGCACAGAGTTTCATCAAAGAAACTTGATCATAGTACTGAAACCACAGTTTTGACGTGTTGCTCAAATCCTTTGCAAAGCAAATTATGATTTTCATCTTCTCGTGAATTTTTGTAAGACGTGAACTTGACAGGACTTCTTCCATATCAGTAATACGAATGTGAAAGCAGTTAAAGAGATTCAGATAGCACTGCGTTCTTCATCATTCGCATCAAGCACACTTTCTAGCAACATTTTTGTTAGAGAAAACTGTGTAAGAAAGTGCACTCGTAGGACACGGGAGTAAGCGTGACCTGATATCATGTGGTTTACAGATGATTTGCATAAACTGTGGCCCAAAGCTCATCTAGACCGTTACTATACACTAGTTATGTTACCTCATGATGTTTTTCAGAATATTATTAATAACTAACATAATTTTTTATAAAAGTACAAAGTTATATGCATATTTGGAAAGCAGACTATTTCATCTACATCTTTTAGTGAAACACATTTCTTCATTGAGGCGACGAGTTATGTGAAAATTAAACCTGAAAAAAAAATTTCTCTAATTTTTATATTGTAATTATTTTCCTAAAAAACGTATTAATAACTAAAAGATAACACTAGATAATAGGGTACTATACATTATTTAGAACATTGTTTACTAAATACATTTTTTTTACAACTAATACTTTAGCAGTTATTCAGCTTTAAAATTTGTCCAATATGGCGGCTATTTTCCAATATGGCGGCTATTTTCCAAGATGCCGGTTAACGCCAGATGTCGTGGGAACCTTAGTATATTGTTCTGGATACATAGCTCTTCACTTGTACGATTTTTCAGCTTTTATTTAATGATTTCCGGTTTACCTTGATATTTAGCCTGAAGCTCCTGGGCTAGAGGGAGACAATTAACTTCGCCAAGGGGGTAGTGATGATGGTGTACAGGTGTGGGGTTAGGTTAGGTTGTGTTGTGGTGTACAAGTGTAGGGTTAGGTTAGGTTGTGTTGTGGTGTACAAGTGTAGGGTTAGGTTAGGTTGTGCTGTGGTGTACAAGTGTAGGGTTAGGTTAGGTTGTGTTGTGGTGTACAAGTGTAGGGTTAGGTTAGGTTGTGCTGTGGTGTACAAGTGTGGGGTTAGGTTAGGTTGCGGATAATAGGGTGAGTCAGTCAATCAGTCAATAAGGAAATGAGTTCATAGGGCTTGCATGAGGGAGTATGAACATTTATCAGTGAGTCAGTGAGTGAGTCAGTCAATGAGTCAGTCAGTCAGCCAAGGCGGTCATGGGGTCGGGTGACAGAGCTAAAACATTTGGCTGGTCACATTATCATAACTCAAACGTCACATAAATATTTAATCAACAAAACTTGATTTAAAGTTTTCCAAGCGTGTTTTAACTTAACCTGAGCGAGGGTCTTATTGTGAGAGTGTTAACTGGTAAGTGTTATTGTGAGAGTGTTAACTGGTAAGTGTTATTGTGAGAGTGTTAACTGGTAAGTGTTATTGTGAGGGAGTGTTGACTGGTAAGTGTTATTGTGAGAGTGTTAACTGGTAAGTGTTATTGTGAGGAAGTGTTAACTGGTACGTGTTATTGTGAGAGTGTTGGTAAGTGTTATTGTGAGAGTGTTAACTGGTAAGTGTTATTGTGAGGGAGTGTTAACTGGTAAGTGTTATTGTGAGAGTGTTAACTGGTAAGTGTTATTGTGAGGAAGTGTTAACTGGTACGTGTTATTGTGAGAGTGTTGGTAAGTGTTATTGTGAGAGTGTTAACTGGTAAGTGTTATTGTGAGGGAGTGTTAACTGGTAAGTGTTATTGAGGGAGTGTTAACTGGTAAGTGTTATTGTGAGGGAGTGTTAACTGGTAAGTGTTATTATAAGAATGAGAACAGATAGCTATTTTCATTGTACGTTTCTGCTAAGTTAATTCCGCCTGTGGTCAAATATGTGCACTTTTGGCTAAATTGACTATTTCACAAAAGACGCCTTTACTGAAATATTACGAAACTTAAGTCATGTTTAGTTACGATAGGCATGTTAGTGTTATGTCGTTTCGTTTAGTGTTTAGATATGCATAATATAATGTACTATCGTGGACAAAAGTTCGTTCCCTATGGTGAAACTGAGTCACGGGAATGAGTCTCCGAACTGACTTACCCGGACTGTCATCTGGTGCGGGTTTACTGTTTTATCTCGTTTGGGGTCAATACTGCTTCAGTTTAGGAGGGAGCGAACTTCTGTCCACGATAGCACAGTACACACCAGTTGGATTTCTGAGATATATACTTTTTTTTTTTTTTTTTTACTCGGCAATTATCTTCCCCACACAACACTTACGACACACACCAAAATATAATATAAATTAGTACGACTCTGATCAAATTAGTGAACTTTCGGTTTACTTGACGCTGTGAATATCTGTGAATAAGAATTACCATGAGATGAAAGTCAACTATAACAAAGACTAGAACAATTAAAGTAGGTGGAGAATATCTTACCTGGTTATACATCATCAGTACAGAAGAAGATGGACTGTGGTATACTGTGTTGACATCACTAGCAAGAGACCTGGGCCTTCACCTTACCTTACCATACTTAGGTTAGGTTAGGTTAGCTTGTGAATTCGGTTCTAAGGCCTGAGGAAACGTAGTGACATGTATTCTGATATATGTGTATCCTTGAGAACTTTCACCAGCCTCAAACCAACGCAGTATTCACGCCCTCTTAGTGACCGAGACAGCTACTGTAAGGCTCAAGGTTGCCCTGGCTCATTGCTCTTGTCTTATACAGTGGTATTACTACGCCAACACTTATCAATATTCATACTTTACCTTAAGCAAGCACATGGCCCCACTATTATGTATGTGTGTGTACTATATGTTTGAATGTATGTATGTATGTATGTATGTATGTATGTATGTATGTATGTGTGTATGTAATGTATGTAAGTACAGTATGTATGTATGTATGTGTGTATCACTTAGAAATCTATTATCTAGACTTGTAAATATATATACATAAATTACCTTAAACAAAAGTACAGTACCAGCCTCACCATCATCTTGGCGACCTCTGCAGGCCATTACAAGCGTTACATTGATGTTTACAAGACAGTTTCGTTAAATGCCGGGGCGATGTGGTCCTCGGTGTCGGAGCCCAGAGTGCCGCTGGAGGTGGGGCTCTCGAAGTGAACCCTGAGGGCCGAAGCGGGACTCCGACGACCCTCTACTCTCTGAGCGCTCAACAACAACGTGTCTTTCTCTTCGCTTCCGGGCCTTGTGTTTTGTGTGAGTAGAGTTTCTCCTGCCACACATCCACCTTCTAAGGTATCGAGAGGACAGTAATCTATTTCTGTTGAGTTTCGTACAAGACCTCCCCTTTTGGACACTCCTCCCTTCTTGTACTCTTGTCGCATCGTCGGGGACCTGTCAGCTGCCGGGTCGAAGACGCTAGCGACAGAGCTACGAGTGCCATTGTGGAGTGTGGTTGATCCCGAGGATTTAGGCGACAGGTGGCAACCAGCTGAAGGGCGACGCGAATCGGCACCTTCAGCTGGTGCCTGTCGCCCTCATATGACCGTCTCCGAAGTGCAGGTACGAGGTGGTCCGTTGTTCATTGAGTAGCGAGTTGAACCGTCCCTTTCCGCCTTTGGCGGTCGTCCACGGATGAAGAGGTCGCGGAAGGTCACTCGGAACTGTCGCGACATACCGCAGTAGATGGCGAAGTTGATGGGGTACGAGAAGATGATGAAGGAGTTAGATATGATGAAGAAATACATGAGCATTTCGTAAGACTCTGTAGAGAATACGTTGACGAACATGTTGGATATGATGTGGAGGAGAGTGATGACGGCCAGAGGGATCTCCGTCACCAGGAACACCGACACCACGGCGATTAACATCAGTGTGGTACAGTTGGAGTCGCGCAGCGTCTTACATTCCTTCTTGGAGTTTTTGTCGTGCAGCAATTTCTTCCTGCGCTTTTGTGCCTCCTTCATGGCCCTGTAGAGAAGCATGTTGAGGACGACCAGCACCATGCAGGGACCCAGGTGCACAAACATCACTCGGAACCAGAAGTAGATAGGGAAGTAGATGTTTGGGGTGATGAGAGTCACCCAGTAGTTGAACGTTTCCCGACAGACATCTACACACTCGCCGCCCCACTCCACCTCCACAGACTCATAAACGGTGTCGAAAAACCTTGGCGCCTGGTGGATGGTCGCGAAGACGAAGATCCAGATTATAGCCTTGAAAACCAGGGGCAGTGTGCACCAAGTCCGGGCCACGGGCGGGTGACACACATAAATGTACCGCTGCGCCGCCAGCGCCACCGTCAGCCATATTGAGGCTGTGTGGAACACGTTGGGAATATAATCATGCAGGAAGTTCCAGGCGTAGCAGGCTGCCGGTGGGTAGAGAGGCTTGGCGTGGTTGTCAAGGGTGTACATGTAGAAGAACATGGGTTCCGGGAACACCACCGTCAGCATGTCTGAGAGGGCCATGGCCGTGAGCACGGCATTAGTCGGGGAGCGCATGTGTTTTTGCCACAGGACGGCCACGATGAGCGTGTTGAAGACCGTCGTCACCAGAAGCAACACCGGCATGGCATACCCATAGAGGGGCACGGCCAGGTCCAGCGGGTACATGCTACTCACGTTCAAGAAGTCATGGGTGGAATTGGTGTCGTTCCCACACGTGGTGATGTTGGTGTCGTTCAGTGTGTCGTACTCCATGTTGCTTGGTTTTCCCGGGGTGGTCCGGGGGATGAGGGGAGGGGCGAGGTAAGGGTGGGAGATGAGAGGTCAGACAAAGTCACTAATTTGATACAGTTCAGTCACACTCGTACAGTCATCATGAGTTACAGTTTGTTCCGCCACCCTGCCTGCTCACTAAAGCTCTCCCATCTTCCCCACCTTAGTCCACTTGGTTGCCTTCACACTTGTTGCCAACACCAACACCATCATCATTGACAAAAAAAAAAAAAAAGTAACGCCGCTGAGTCGTTCCAAGTTCCCTGGGTAAACACGACACCGTGTTGCCACGCTGATGTTGCCACTATCTTCGGTCACTGTAGTGCACGTGGCATCTAACTACCATGACACCACATCACCACCACTCCACCTCGTCCAGCCAACCACACGAGTCTTGGTTGGTTAAGATCATGTATCACAACTTTCCGCCAGCAAAGGTCCGAAAAAATGGGAGTTTTGAAAGTTTTTTTTTTTAGGAGGAACTTTGGAGTTACATAAGGTTCTTAACATGCGTGGTGTTATTTTATGTGTTTCTCGTGTCTCTCACCCGTTATGAGAAGACTGGTGGTGAAGCGTGAATGTGTTGGTAAGGTGTGAAGGGGAGGGAGAGAGAGAAGGAGCGACACACCGAGCGTCTGCTCTTCACCTCACCCGCTGGTAGACTGAGTGAGCTAGCGAGCTTGAACCACTGAACAGAGCTCCCCCTCCAGGTCCACCAACAGCCTTGGGGACTGTAGCAACATGCAAAAACAACTCAGTTGGCAAACAGCAACAACAGTTTTAAGTCATGGCAAACAGTTGCCAGACTTTGGCCTTGGGTTTGCTGGCAGCATGGCAGGTCAAAACTCGACATGGTCATGGCAGATCTGGCAGAAACAGCATGGCAGGCAGCAAACTGGCAGCCTTGGCAGGTTTGGCTGTTTTTGGGTTCCTTGGACATGTGCTTGGGATCAGCATGGCTGTGTAGTCAGGTTGGATCGTTTGGCATGGCGTTTTGACAACAGCATGGAGTCATTGGACAACAACTAGCATATTCATTCCTGGGTTCTGCCACCACTACCACAACTACTACCACTACCACTGTCGAGGGTTTAACTGTTAACGCCTTATGGTTCTTTTAAAGATTACTGTCGGGTGGAACACTTCCGCTTTCACCGAGGATAACGAACAAGATTATGGATATTTGTAACAAAATATGTCTATTTACAAGTATTTACACTGATAATTATCGGCATGAAGACAGTACAGAGCAACATAAACACGTGTAAGTATGAAAGTGACGGACTGCCGGTCGGAACAAACGTCGGGAGTGTGGACACTGGATGTGAAGCGTGGGGTCTTGTACATCAACACGGCACAGGTGGTAAATTGGCGTCTTCTCCTCAACTTCACAGGAGAGCAAGTAACTTCCTCCTAACTGTCACAAGTACTTGATAATGGACACGGGAGGAACAGCACAGAGGCTAGGGCTGACAGTGTCCTAGCTGGCGTGCTGACATACAAGGCTAGGGGTGTAGCAGTTCACACCAACGTGACCATGAATAAAAAGCTGCAACAATACAGTACATTTAGAATAGTGTCTAATTATTTTAGTAGTATCGGTCAACATGCTATTATATTTGCACAATTCATACACACTAAGTTGCACATACATAGTAATTAACAAACATTACACAAGGCTCCCTTAAAACACAAATAACACCATAGGAACCATAAACCACAAACGATAACAAATAATATGAAATACTCACAGGCAGCAGGTGATCAACTGGGCAGAGGAAGGGAGCCAAGTGACCAGCCATAGGGTTACACCCCGCACTATGACTCGGTTCGAACTACCCATGAGTAACACCTGCTTCAGGTGCAGAGAACAAACCCAACACTGAACAACACTGTACCAACAATCATTGGCCTGGAATATAAACCTCTTACAACCACCATTACTATTACTACCACCATCTCCACTACTACCACCCTTACTAAATTAACGACTACCACTTATACTACCCCCCACTACATAAGAGAGAGAGAGTGTGTGTGTGTGTGTGTGTGTGTGTGTGTGTGTGTGTGTGTTTACCATTCATCTCCCTGTGTATGTTACTCTGCATATAAGTAAAAAAATATAGGAAGAAGAAGCATGCTGTTAAAGCCTACTTAGGTCATTTTTGCGTGTATTTAACCTTTCCAACTATCCCTAGAGGTGCTCAACCACTTCAACTGTCATTAACTGTATACCACCCGTCACCAGGTGGCCTTTTTCCACAGGGTAGTGTAATGCTTCTAGTGTGCCAGCATGATGTTAATGTTAAGGTGCAAGCACTGCTTGCTACCTCTCGCTTTCAACTACCGCCACTGGCTAACTCTCGTGGTGAACAGGGAAGCAGCCTTGCGTATGATTTCCCCTGTCAGTACACAGCCTGTTCACCATCAAGACTCCTGTTCAGCTTCCTCGTGGCAACACGCGGTAACTGGATGCCTCTCGGCCCCACTAGCCCAGCAGGGGGATCTCGGAGCAGTAGTGGGACCCAAAGGTATAGTGCATAGGTCCGCCGGCATGTAGACACGCCCTGGCGCTTACCAACCACTGCCCCGATGTCTTACGGATTAATCTTGAGAGGTATAAGGCTACGGGAGTAAACCCGGAACTAAAATCTGTGGTGGTGCCCCGCATCAGGCAGACATGCTTACAGAGCTCCAACATGACCCCAACGGCGGAATAGGCGTAAGAGGTGACCAACATGGGAATCTAATGACTACCAGGCATGGGGCGGTTAAGTTTCAAATTTAACAAGTTAAGTTAAGTTAATTTTCATTTTTTCCAGTTAAGTGAACCTGATTATTTTAACATTAACTGATTAAGTTTAAGATTTTTTCGCTTAAGTTAACCAGTCTTTTTCAAATTTGATTAGGGGAATTTTCATGCCGATTAAATAACTTAATATCCTGTAAATGTTTTCCAGAAGAATCAATGAATACTGTAGTTTGAATACCTGAATAGTGAGGCAGTCTGGCACACTACTTCCTTGGTATGAATCAGTCTTGAGATAAAATAATTATAAATTCTTAACTTTTTTTATTTTTTTACTCAATAGCTTTTCACATGTAAATAATTGTATTATTTCAGTATGCAAAACCAAGTAAGACTTCCTTACTTAAAAAATAATATCATGATAAGATAAGAATTCTGTATATCAAATAAATAATTATCACTGAAAGTTTAAACTCAAACTTTCATCACAAACTTATTACACTTTATAATGCTAAATATATTGGGTACTCACTGGGCTCAAGGGCTAGTGTGTTATATATTATTTGTTATTTTTCATAAGGATTTAATTAATAATTAATCGAAGTTAAACAATTAATTTGCCAAAAATTCGATTAAGTTAAGTTAAACTGTTATTTCAAAGGTTAACTAGTTAAGCTAAGTTAATTAATTGCCCCATGCCTGCATTGACTACACCGGAAGATGAAGGCAATGCATGTTGGACAGGCTACTAAGGCAAAACCCAACAAACTGGGCTATCAACAGTCCATTGCAACTCTCCCTCTCTCCAGTCATTGCAACACCTGCACCACTGGATCAGGAAAAGGGAGAGCCAAGATGTGTGGTCACAGCCTGCACTCCTGTCTCACCACATAAATCATCTTACGTGCAGCCATCATCCAGCTCATCATACTTTTCATCATGAAAACCCCTAAACTCCCAAAAGTCCTATGGCGACAGACGAGGAGCGACGAGGACAGGCAGAGATGACTGCCGGGAGTCTCTAGTCACAACTCTGCACGTGGGCGGCACAGATATTATAAGATCGTCGCTTATGCACTGGGATCTAGGCAGCAGTGCAATCCGGTCCTATCTGTGCGAATGAGCAGCCCTTTCCAGGAGCCACTCTGCTTACCCCACATGGAGAGGGGGCTAGAAAAGGTACCCTAAAAATAACCTGACTAGGCAACCGCACCCAGTAATGTCATCCTATTGCAGTCGAAACATTATTACAGATCAAAGCAAAAACAAACTGTATAGAATGTCAGAACCCTTCTGGATACTGGCACAAATGAGCGACCTGAAAGAAGAACTGCCCTTGTGGCAAAAGAGCTGGCTAGGTATAACATCGACATAGCAGCCATCAGTGAGTCCCGGCTCCTAGACGAGGGTTGACTCACAGAAAATAAAAGTCCAGAGTAGTCCAGCTATACCTTCTCCTGGAAGGGTAAACCTGCTGCGGAGAGAAATCGCATTTATGGAGTAGGCTTTGCCATTCGCCAATCCGTCGTACAGAGTCCCACTGAATCACTCACCTCATTCTTACTCCACCAGTGTCATACGCCCCAACACTGGATGACGAGGATGGCATCAAGGAAGTCTTGTACGCCGACCTTGACAGAGTGCTAACCTCTATCTCAGAGAAGATAAGGTTGTGGTCCACGGTGACTACACTGCCAGAGTTGGCAGAGATGCTGACTTATGGCAGGGAACCATAGGGGGAAACGGAGTGGGCAAGTGTTAATACCAATGGCTGAACACAATCTCACTATAACCAACACCTTGTTTAGACAGGTCGACAAGTTCAAGGCATCTTGGCAACACCCACGATCCAAACAAAATTATCATTCTTACTACCATTATTGTCTCCTGCGACCGCCATTGATCCTACTACTATTCCTCTCACCACACCCATTCCTACCACCACTGTTCCTCTCACCACAACCATTCCTACCACCACTGTTCCTCTCACCACAACCATTCCTACCACCACTGTTCCTCTCACCACAACCATTCCTACTAACCACCATTCCTCTTATAATAATGTCATATCTTTTAGAGTAAATATAGTCATGTTTTAGAGAAAATCTATATGAAAATTCAGTCAGTGGTATAAAAGACACTCGAAGCCACGCCTGTCATGTCAAGTGCCTGCGTGTCTATATCGGTCGTCAACCAATCGCTGTGACCTGTGAGTGTGACGTCATAGGCACAACTATCTGATTGGCTGAAACTTAAGACGTCATAGGTACAACTAACTGATTGGCTGAAATTTAACTAAACGTCACATTCCCAGCTACACGTGGCGCTCAGGATCAAATCGAGAAAGTCTGTGTTGGAATGTTGCGTAAGGAGATGTGAGGTGTCGGTGGGTGGTGACATAGCACATATTATTTCCTTTAGCGCTCCATATTCTTATAGTTATTAGCATCTCTCTCTCTCTCTCTCTCTCTCTCTCTCTCTCTCTCTCTCTCTCTCTCTCTCTCGCTCTCGGTGGGAGGGTAACCTGATACACACACACACACACCCTCACACACCCTCCGGCTCAACTTCCCTCTGCCTATATAGTCGCCTCACTCACTTCACCTCCCATACAAACGATGGAAACGTGAAGTAAATAAATAAAATAAAGGAATAAGAAAAATTATAGAGAGAATTATGAGTAATAAAAAATAATTAAAGAATAAAGTAGACTAATAAAATGGAAATAAAGGAACAGAAGAGACCCCTTTGAAATTTGTTACAACCTTCACAATTACTATTTCTGTTACCACTATTCAGGCTGACTACCACCATTACTTCTACCACTATCCCTTCACAACCACTATTCCTATTACCATTATCCTTCACAACTACCATTCCTGTTACCACTATCCTTTCACAA